TAGACGTTGTTATAAAACAGAAAATATCGGATTTTCTTGGGAAATTATTCATGTACACTTATCATTTATTCAAAATACAATGAATCTAAACTACACTCATATAAGTTATAACTATGAAATTCACACATGCATTTATACATGATTTTCACATCATTGTCAGACATTTTACAGAAAATATCGGATTTTCTGGGTTTTTATGAAAGATACAAAGACTTTTACTCAAACATACTTATCAACTTACCAACATTATATATGTTGACCGTTTTCAAAATAACTTGTATTCTCAGGTAATCGTTAAGCTGGAAGATTTGCAAGTGTGTATGGTTTCGTTTTATGTAACAGCATTTATCGTACTTTTAACAATTGGAACTTATGTATTTTAACAATGTACTTGATGTGAACAATGCTAGTTGTATTATGTAATGTTGGTGATGATCGTGTTATGATTCATGTATATTCATTGTGATGATTATTCAATTGTTAGTCACACGAGCCCCCGGACGTTTCCGCCGTCTGGTTCGGGAGTGTGACAAAAATTATGTTGGAACATTAGGAGCACCACACAGAAAAGGAAGTTTGTTACAAATATGAGAGAAGTCAAAAAACTCAAACTTGAAGCTTGGCAGTATTTAAAACAAATCAATAAAAGTCAGTGGTGTCTTTTATATGATGAAAATCGTAGATGGGGTATCTTGACAACAAATATCTCTAAGAGTATGAACAATGCGTTGCGGGGAGCAAGACAACTACCGATTAGGGCGTGTATTGACCTTACATTCAACAGAACCGTGCAACTTTTTAGAAAGCATAGTAATGTTGCAATGAATTGCAATACACCTCTACCATCATGTATGTGGCGTCTATTTTGTAACCGGGACACTCGTACACAAAGCCATAATTTAACCGAGTTCGATTACAATGGAGGTGTTTACATAATTGTTACAAAGTTACGGATAAATGGAACCTGAGGAAATACGCATACTGTCCATTATTTTCAACAAACATGCACATGTGGAAAATGGCAAATGGAAAGATTCTCGTGTTCTCATGCTCTTCCAGTTTGTCGTTATAGAGGGGATAACCCTCTTTCTATTGTGAATAATGTGTACACTACAATGACGTATAAACATCAGTATAATTCTGCTTTTGTACCACTTTCTCACGTTGATTATTGGTTAGAGTCAGATTGGAAGATTCAAGCAGATTACTCGAAACTCTCTGTTCATCAAGGTCGGAGACGTTCAAACCGTTTTCGTAATGAGATGGACATTCGCCACCCCGACGAACCTCGCAAATGTGGACTATGCCACCAACCTGGTCATAATCGAAGAAATTGTTCAAATTCTCAACCTAGATACAATGTCATGTGAAGTATGTACTTTTATTAATTTATGTTTAAATGTGTGCTTAATTTGTAATGTTGAAAACTGTTTATTTAGTAATGTAATGTCATATTTAAATGCTTTTGTAATTTCGTAACAATATAATATATTCAATATTGGTGTTTATTTAAAGGTGTTGAATAGATTTATTTAAAATGTAATTTCCTAAAAATAATATATGAACATATTTTTAAATAAAGTAATTAATGTATAATATATAATTTGAATAAAATAATTAATGTATAATATATAATAAGGTTAAAAGGTAGAGTTTTTAATAATAAAAGCTATATAAAAAACAATGATATAAGATAAGGGACTAAAAATCTAAAATCTGAAATTTGATCAATACTAAAGTCGATAAACCAGGTGGGGTCCCAAGCAAAAAGACCTATTTTTACAAAGCAAAAAAATACTACCCTATTTCTACCAATCAATTTCAAAACCACCCTATTTTTACCAAAAACTCATTGTCTTGATATGGACAGTTTTGGGATCTGTCAGCCAGCAGCCAGGGATTGTCTGTGTGTTTCGGCGGTGTGAGGTGATTTTCCCTCAATGTACTTATGGTTCGAAGGCACCAATGTCGACCCATTGGATTGATATCCTGTTATGCATACTATTGTGCTGTTTTTTTTTGAACTGGCAAATCTAATCTACTCCTAAGCTAGCAACACCTATTCCACCTATGTCCACAACGGAACTTGAACCCTCGACCTCAAAGAGGGAGGACACCACCTGATACCGCTGGGCTACAAACCCTTTGGTTACTATTGTGTTGTTGTTATCTGTTAGATCGGTATCTTGGTAGATAGGATGTTGCTATTCTTAGTTATCTGTAGATCTGTTTGACTGGTTGTAGACTGTTATATGATTATCTGTTATATGTGCACATGTTTGGTCAATGGCTGAGGCTTCACTGCTCTATGCGTAAGCCAACAGGCTGGGGCATTCCAACCCGATGGTTGAATGGGTCTGAGGGTATTCACCCGAGGATGATCGGACCCATAGTATGTTGGCATTCCAACCCGATGGTTGAGGGCCTGGGGTATTCCAACCCGATGGTTGACTGGACCCATAGTATGTTGGCATTCCAAACCTGATGGTTGAGGGCCTAGGGTATTCCAATCTGATGGTTGACTGGACCCATAGTATGTTGGCATTCCAACCTGATGGTTGAGGGCCTGGGGTTTTCCAACCCGATGGTTGACTGGACCCATAACATGTTGGCATTCCAACCCGATGATTGAGGGGCCTGAGGTATTCCAGCCCGATGGTTGATTGGACCCATAGTATGCTATTTGTGGTGTATGTTATTTGTTGTGTGTTGGTACTTTGGGGGAACTCACTAAGCTTTGTGCTTACAGTTTTTAGTTTATGGTTTCAGGCACTTCAGCGAAACATGGCAAGGCGAAGGCGTGACCGTACACATCTTGCCTTTCTGTCATTGATCTTGGGAGGCACTGATTTTTAAATAATGCTTTGAGAACACTAATTTTGTAAACAGTTTATTAGTAAAAATGGTGTTTTGAAAAGTTTAAAATTGTTGAAATTTTTGGGATGTTACAACATGTTTTAAACCATAAAGTTGTTTACTTTGAGCTTTTACATGGCTCAGTTGGTCCCAAATCTAAGTTCTTACTTTACAACTTCATCAAAGAGGCTAATACACATGCATTATGGGTTGATATTATCCATCAAGATTGAATTTTTATACATTTGGGACACTTAAAATGTCCAGATCTAGGGACCAAACTCGTGGAGCAAACTCATTCACATAAAGGCAACCCAAAGAGACCGAAATATGCCACAACCACCCCAAAATAGATCCACCCAAAAGAGATGACAAAATTAAAGCTTTTTACCTTCACTACGCCCTGCATACACGACGAGTACACCCCGTGTACTCGATGAATTTCACAAAGCTTAAACTTCTTTTGATCAAAACTCCTTCGCCCTAAGTTCGTTTCCTATGAACTTATATCCATGGAAAGGTGGCGAGAAGCCCTAAACTTCTATCAACTCACCATTGCCTTAAAACTTCCCGAACAAAAACCCAAAATTCATAAAGGCCCGAACTGCCAAATTACGATTATACCATTGGGCTCTGAAACACAATCGAACTCTCGGATCACCTTATATATAATGCCCATTTCCAACAAGGGCTAATTCTCTTCCTCCTCAAGGCCCTAAGCCTTATGATAACCGATAATCGAGCCACGACCTTGAATAATGAAACGATTCGAAACTGAGTGTTACATACATTTTCAGCAACACTATGATATTGATGTATACTTGGAGATATAAAAGTACCTATTGGGTTGTTAACCTTTTTTCCGTTGGATATGTTAGTTGCAGATGCTTTTCCTTTATCACCGACTTCGTTAACCCCAACACCTTCTTCAACCACCACATATACAGGCATATGTTTATCTCCAACAACATTTATTACCTTGATCAACTTTCTAATATCACGATCATCAACAATACCACAATAATACAGTTGCTCGGGATGTTGATAAGACAGACTAACTTTTGATTCATCTGGAATGTCCATTTTACTTTTCACCAGATAAACAAATTCAGTGAATGTGGTGGTCTCTTAAAATTCAACACCGTAATAAAACATTATCAAAATGTATCCAGGTGGCCATACATATGATAGTTGGAAATTAACAAACTCACATCTTCCATCAATGATAAGCAATACGAAATACTCATCTGAACTCATAATATGATTTTGAGAGAAAACAAGATAAAAAAAAACAATAACATTCATTCTAAAATATATTCACATTTTAATATATACTATGTATGAAATAGTAGTCAAAATCCATGAATCAGTAGTCAACTTCTACTTAACAGTAGTCAAAAATACCAAATAGTAGTAAAAAAAATAATTAAAATAAAACTATAGGTTTGGGTCAGAACCATAGATCATTTAAGATCTACGGTTTGAAAAATCGTAAATTATACATAGGATACCGTAGACCATAAAATGGTCCATGGTTTTGTTTTGGAAAATGAAAAAAAAAATTATACATACAACGAAACCGTATGCGAAAATGGCGAAATGGTAGCCGATTTTACTATCCTACGGTTATATAGGCTATTTTGAAATAATTGCTAATTTTTGACTAAAAATAAAAAAATAATTAGGAGATTAGGCTAGTTTTGTAATTATCCCTGATTATAATTGCATAGGGATTAGGAAGTACTATTATATATTCATTTTGAAATATAATCTAGATATTTAAATTTTTTAATAAATGTCAAAAAAAACTACATGCTTTCAACTATTCGGATTATGCTTTAGTAGTCTTATGCCATTGATCGAACAAACAAATACACTTCAACGATAAGTACACTCCAAACAAATATTTATGAGAAATGAGCATTGAACCTTTTTAGCAAAATAAAAATAAAAAGTGTTACATCCTTAGGATGAGATTTTTTTTTTTTTTTTTTTCCATATCTATATTATCTTGAGGAATTTGATTACATTTACAAAAGTTATTTGTAAAAGGAAAAAAGTTTAACATGCTTAATTGTAAAGAAAACATCGTTTTTTTGTGCTTAAATTGACAAACAAGCAAAAGGTAACGTTTTGATTAGGATGCCTTTTCTAATCGAGACACACAAACACACACAGAGCAACCATTTTTAAAATCACCATTATAACTTGGAAAGGTGTATCAAATTATCAAATATTCAATATCAGACTCCGATTTACCACTCGAGAATGTGGACGGACGATTCACAGCACCTACATTGTCAGTATATTCCTTCCCGACGGCAGGCCTCCTCCTCCATAACCACCACTTCTAGAGACAGAATCAAGCTTCTGTAAACCAATTCAACCAAAAGATTCAATCGTTGGTGTCGATTTAGCCAGGAGATGCAAAACTCAACTCAATCATCATCCACCACCACCACTCTTTACATCATCTTAACCATCACCACCTTTCTCTTTCTTCTTTTCTTCCTTTCCCCGTTCCCGTCCCCACCACCACCGCCGTCCTTCTCCGACCCATACCTATTCCCCCACCGTCCATCCACCGCCCAATACCACAACCACCAACTTCTCTTCCTCAACAACAATAACAAAACCACTAACCAATCTCCCCCCGCCTCACCCACCATCGCCTATTTCATATCCGGATCCTCCAACGATTCGGCTCGGATCATCCGACTCCTTTTGTCTATCTACCATCCGAGAAACCAATATCTTCTTCATCTCGACCGTTCTGCCCCTCAAAAAGAACGCGACTTTTTAGCCCTATCCGTTCAATCAATTCCGGTGTTTTGGGCCGCTCAAAATGTTAATGTTATAGGGAAATCTGATCTCGTTTCTCCTAAAGGATCTTCTTCAATTTCTTCCACTTTACATGGAGCTGCTATTCTTTTGAAGCTTTGCCCTGATTGGGATTGGTTTATTAATCTCTCTGCTGCTGATTACCCACTTGTTACTCAAGATGGTAATCTTCAATTTTGCATATTTTACTTCAATTAGTTTGTTTCTCACCCCCTTTTTTACATACTCTTAACTGCTAAATTTCATTTTTCTAGGGTTTATCTGTTTCAAGTAACATTGTCTTGGACTGGTTATTTGTTGTTGGTTTTTAAATGCTTTTTTCGCAATAAATCCATCTTCCATCGATTATAATTTGTGGGTATTCTCTGTTTTTCCATAATAATTAATTAGAATTGATTTAGAACCTTGAGGAGTTCCATTTTTGACCTACCCCAACCACTTTAACTTAAAGACTTTTTGTTGTGGTTGTTGCAAAATCCAATTCAGAGTGTAAATGTTGTTAGGAAGTATCGATCTTGAATTGATTTAAATTTTGGGTTTACTTGGTGTTTTGGTTGCAATGTTTCGTTGTTGCATTTTTTTGAATATATCTTAGTTTTTCGCTAAACTACTTTTGAATATGCTTATCTTCAAATCCAGGGAAGTACTAGAAAGTAGAATAAAATTACTTATATATCTGTATTTTATCTGTTACTAACTAAAATAACCAGAATTTGCCAAATAATCAACACCATTAGAAGTTATTATTACAAAATATCCAAATACATCTTAGTTTGTGCATAATCAACTTTAGAAGTTATCTGATTATTCTTGACACAATCACCTTCAGATCTTCTTCACATTCTGTCATATCTGCCTAAAGATCTCAACTTTGTGAATCACACAAGCTACATCGGATGGAAAGAGTATGAAATTATCACTTTTACCTAATATTTACACATATTTGAATAGCAATTATGGAGTTCAATAATACGTATATTCCTTCTTTTTGTTGTTAACATTAACAGGTCACGGATTTTAAAACCTGTGGTGGTTGACCCGGGTCTTTTTCTTGTTGAGCAAAGCGAAATCTTTTATGGCACTCAAAGAAGGCCATTGCCAGATGCTTATCGATTGTTCACAGGTATGTTAATATGTTAATGAAGAAATAACAATGGACTTTCATTGATTTGTTTGTTATAGCATCCTATTTCTATTTCATTTTATTACAGTAATTTTTGTTATAAAGTCAACATACTTTGAAATATCTATATTGTATTTTCAATAGTTTTCTTATGTGAAAACGACCTAAAAAGATAGTATAGTTCTCATTTGGTACATGTTTAGTCTTCATTGTTTTTTTTTTTTTTTTTTTTTTTGTGTAAAGTAAGCTCTTGAACTTATTGTTTTTGTACACATTCAGTCCTTATGACTGACTACTCCAAGTTAAGTTTTCAATTTGTACACATATAGTCATTAATGTTTTTTTTTTTGCAAAATAAGTCCTTGTTTAAACACATGAACAAAACCGGTCATAAGGATTGAATGTGTACAAAAACAACAATGACTTGTTTTGCAACAAAAAAAAACATTAAGGACTAAATGTGTACAAACAGAGAACTTAACTTGGAGTAGCCGGTCATAAGTATCGAATGTGTAGAAAACAACAAGTTAAAGGGCTTATTTTACAAGAAAACAACAATAAGGACTAAATGTGTACAAATGAGAACTATATTACCCTTTTAGGTCGTTTTCCATTTCGTTACCTAATAATAGAAGTGAAAAGTTACTATATATCAAACACTCATGAAATATCACATAAAGCCTCCATAAGCATCTACAACCCTACTCCAAATTCCATTTTTTCCTCCATTTCATATGTTTTAATCCAAAATGGATATGAACTTTCACTTGTCCAATTTTAGTCCCTCACATTTTAGTTTTCTCACTTTTTTATTTTATTTAAATTAACCAAGTGTAATTTAAATGATATTAACTAAACCACAAACATAAAATTACAACATTTATGTATCGAATTTTTGAAAAGAGTCATCAAATTGGTAACAAATATTGTTATTGCAGGCACCCCATCTTCCATATTAAGCCGTAAGTTTGTAGAGTTTTGCATTTTGGGAACAGAAAACTTACCAAGAACCCTTCTTATGTATCTATCCAACAGCCTTTCATCTCAATCTCTATACTTTCCAACCGTTTTATGCAACTCTCCACATCTAAACAAAACCATTGTCAACCACAATCTACAATATTCTGCATACGAAACCAAACACGAACCCCGAATACTCAACTCAAACGACTTCAATGACCTAATCAACAGTGGGTCAGCTTTTGGGTCTCCTTTTCTTCATGATGATCCGGTTCTTGACTGGATTGACCAACAACTTCTGAACCGTGGTCAGGGGAAACCGGTTCCTGGTGGGTGGTGTTTGGGTGAGTCGGGTGATGAGGTTTGTGGGGTTTGGGGTGATGCTGATGTTTTGAAGCCTGGTTTGGGTGCCAAAAGGTTGGAGGAACGTGTTGTTGAGTTGCTGTCCAATGACACTTTTTATTCCCATCGATGTATTTTTGAATGATGATGATGATGCATGCTTTTTTGTCTGTTGTTTTTTTTTTTATTATAGATTTACATTTGGAAATTTTGTTGTATATTGGTATTTGGGTCAATTGAGTTACCTGCTTTTTTTTATGTGAATGTTGTTTAGGATTTTGACTTCACTTTTCTATTTGTTGAATTTCTCCATGAAAGCTTGGGTCATTTTAGTCGTTAATCGCAGTTGGATAATTTCATATTTTTTTAATGAGGTAGCGATGTTTGTCCACTATCCGACACTTTTTTCGCTCTTACTGAATATGGAGATGATGTAGATGAATGGATGAAAAAGTACAATAAGGGCTTATTGGTCATTTTATCATAAGTTAATGACACAATTGTTAAACTACATCGGTTTTGGGTTATTTGGTTGTCTTTTGAAAAAAATATATGCAATGTAATAAAAATATATGTAATACTCGTTTTGGGTTAATCTTTTGTGAAATTAAAATTTAAAGAAGGGTATGGTCATGGTGCTTGTGAAATTAAAACATATTTTTCAGAAGACCGCATCAACAAAGGCTGATCCAAATGGCATCCACATCAGCCAAAGACCATGTCCATATCAGCAAAGGTCGCCAGCCACCTGGATCCCAATATCTTCTCCAGGTGGCATGAGACACATCAGCAAAAGAGCTGGACATATGAAAAAAGACAAGTCCACTTGGATTTTGCTTGACAAATCAACAATACATCTTCTCCAAACATAAACAAAAACATGAAAACCAAAACACTTTCAAGGCTTCAGTGGAGGATGTTCCAAATATAGCTGCACAGACAATGGCTCAATATTCATGGACTTGATGGGTGTTATTACAGAAGGTTGTTTCCACTGATGTGTGTTGCTTGAAATCCAGGCTCCAATTTGAGCTTCAGGAAGAGAGCAAAAGTAACCTGTTATTTCCCACCTCCAATCAGATTTTTTACATTGAGATACAACAGCAGCATTCTTTGAAAAAGGTTCTGATAAAGACAGCTTCACCAAAAATGATCTTAGCTCCATGTCCATCATTTCTCCATCATAACAAGACAGGTTCACATTAATCTTGAACATAAATCTCTCGACTGGAATTCTATCATCCTTGAAGAAAATAACTGCAACTCTCTCAACCAGCCCCTGAGACAAAAGTTAGCTATATCAACACTTGATTCTCTTTCTCTCTCTCTCTCTCTCTCTCTCTCTCTCTCTCTCTCTCTACTTTTGATCTACATAATTAATTCTCACCTGTTGGATGTAAGGCTCAAGTGCATTGACAGAGTTGAGGATATAGTGATGAAGCTGAGGGTGCCGAGCCCTGTGAACCAATAGATTCATATATCTCCGCCTTTCAAAAACACCTGTGTCGTGTCATACATGAAATTTCAAACTTCAGTAACTCAAAAAAAAAAAAATTAAAATGGAGGATGTTGAAAAGATTGCAAACCAGGTGGGTATATTCCTTTCAGGAAGATGATGGATGTAATGGCAACTTCAAGAAATTCAACTACTACACGTGAAGCGAGGTGTTAGTGTTTATTTAATTAACAGATGGTTATCCAGAAAGAGTTGAAATCCATGGGACTTACTTTTAGGAGATTCATTTTCCTTGCAATCCATTTTGTCCTTCTCCCTTCACAGTATGTAACAAATGGATTGCTGAGTTCATTGAGACCCTTTCTTATCAATTCTAATTGAAACCCAACTTGCCTACTGTCCACTAAACAAATCTTTCAATCCAATTCGGATTCAAACCTAAAACCCCTAAACATTCATAAACATTCATGCCCAGATGGACAGTTTGAATCCAAGACATGAGAAATTAATTAATACAATCGATGGTGTATCATTATCAACCAATCAAACAGAAACTGAGTTACATAGATGGGAGAACTGAGAAGTTGAGTTCTTTTATGTGCTTCTAAATTCTAAAAGTGTGTAACTGGATTCAAATAATAAACTTTTAAAATAAATCATACAAAACAAGAACTAATCGCTAATATTTGATAAATTAATCGAAAATTGGAAATACTCACAGAAACCGAGAATGAGACATACAACTATGAAAACTTATTTGAAATTCTAAAACTGAAATTACCTCTGAGATTGTGGAGAAAACGCAACACATCTGACTGCCAACTTGGTTAAGGCGATTTTGAATCCTCCAAAATACGAAGACAAAGGGAAAAGAGCCAAAGAGTACAGGAGATGGCGATTTTGAATAAAGAAAAGGTGAGAACGTAACCGGTTAGCAGTTGAGAGAGAGCTTAGATTAGATACAGAGGACTCGAGGACTAGAGTGGGGAAGATGGAGTCGGAGACAGACAGTACGTGAAGATTGATCATCGCGCAAGCCATGGCCAATTGCCTGATTTGTCTCCTCGTTTCTGTTCTACGCGGCCATATCCATCTTTTTTTAGGGCCTTGGCTTCAATTATGCTGTTACTGGGCTTCAATGCCAGGCTACCCATAGTCTGGGTCAGGCTAGACAAATCAAACTCACCCCAATAGAGGTCCACAAGGGCCGATTAATACAGGTTTTCGGTTGAGAGATAATAACTTAAAAAATTAATATATTTTTTGATTTGTCCACGTTTAGTCATTGAGTTTTCTTTTCGTCCATATTTACCTCTTCAACTTGTTAAACTGTACACATTCAGTCCTTATGACCGGTTACTCCAGGTTAGCCGGGAAAAATGACTTAATATGTAATATATTTATCATTTTGTACACATTTAGTCCTTAATATTTTTGTACATATTTAGTCTTTAATATTTTGTTTTTTAAAAATAAGTTTTTTTTTTGTACTCATTCAGTACTTATGAATGATTTATTTAGGATTTTCTCACGACATCTTACGTGGGACAATCATTTATGAGGTGTTTAGGTTGTTGATGCTTATGTCCATCGCGATCTCGATTGTTTGGTTGCGTAGGTCTTGTGGTTTGGCTTAGGTCTTGTATTCTGAACGTCGTAACTTTTTCATACGATATCAGATTTTAACGATCTTTATATCCACGTGTTCGTTTTTTAGTCTACTACAACTTTCGTTAAGATTACTCCCGTTAAAATGTAATATTTTTACTTACGATTTTATAAAAAAAAACATCCATACATGCATTCATAAAAAACATATGGATATAAAGATCATAAGTAAAAATATATTACTTTTTAACGGGGGTAATCTAAATGAAAGTAGTAGTAGACTAAGATACGAACGCATGGATATAAAGATCGTTAAAATCCGAGATTGTCTGAAGAAGTTATGATGTTCAGAACACATGACCTAAGCAACCAAGTAGTCGAGATCGTGATGGACATAAGCATCAAAAGCCCCAAATACCTCATAAGTACTTAATGAGTACAAAAACAAAAATGACTTATTTTGCAACAAAAAAAAATATTAAGGACTAAATGTGTAAAAAAATATTAATGACTAAATGTGAACAAAGTGAGAAATATATTAGTCTATTAAGTCATTTTTACCAGCTAACCTGGAGTAGCCGGTCATAAGGACTGAATGTGTACAGTTTAACAAGTTGAAGGGGTAAATACGGACGAAAAAAACTCAATGACCAAATGTGTACAAATCGAATAATATATTACCCTTTTAAGTCATTATCCCTTTCGGTTAAAAAACAGAATCAGTGCTCCTCGGGGAGAGTTGTTCGGTCTGATGAACTGTTTGCCCAACAGCTCATGAAGCTGAGAGGACAACTACTGCATCTCTGGTGGTGCGAGGCGATACGACACTTTGGTAATCGGGGCCGCACCGGGGATCAGGTCGATCTTGAACTCTACCTATCTCACGGGAGGCATACCGGGTAAATCCTTCGGGAAAATATCTGGAAACTCTCTAACAACTGGCACATCTGAAACTGAAGCTCTCCCCTTAACTCGAGTATCAACCACATATGCGAGATAACCCGAACAACCATAGTGGAGATACTGTCTAGCCCTGGCAGCCGAACAAAAATCTGAACCAATCCCGGTACCCCTCACCATAAATGGTTACCTCTTCCCCACTTGGGGTTCGAAACACCACTAACTGCCTCTCACAATCAATCACAACTCCAAACTTGCTCAACTAGTTCATCCCAACAATCATGCATACATCCCCCATAGGGATAAGAATCATGTCAATCGAGTAAGGCACCCCGAATATCTCTAGAGTACAACCGCGAAACACGCTTGAAGCACAAACCTTGTGTTCGTTGGCGATGGAAACTCGCAACAGATACTCCAACTTGTAACGCCCCGATTCTCAAGTATTGAATTAATATAAGAATTTTCTTGTTTTCAAGGTCTACTCGACGAGTTGGTTGCCCTACTCATCGAGTAGCAGCGGGTTGGTTCGTGTGTTTTAGTGACCTACTCGCCGAGTCCAATAAGGGACTCGACGAGTAGGAGCTGGGAGATGAAACCCTAAATTTCGGGGTTTTGCACCCAATTTAAGGATCACTTATCCCCCTTAGCCTCTCTTACTGCTCCCCTCGAATTTAGAAACCCTAATTCGTGT